TACTGCCAAAATACCGAGCGACCCTACCTCTGCTTGGAGAGTAAGTATTGACTGAAGAAGGCCATATAGTTTTAGCTTATAGCAGAAAACTTGGATATACAGCCTGCTCTCTGGAATGTTATCTTATGTCATTTTTTGTACACCTAGAAATTTTCATGTGCACCTTTTCTGTTAACTTCTGAGACTAACAATATTTGTTTTGTTTAGGAGGAAGGGGAGGAGGCTCATCTGTAGGTTTGTTTCGTTTGTGAGGTCTAGGTGCCTTATTTTCACTAGACTGCTCTGGACCTGAACTGTGTGTTTCCTCGTTTGAATGTAGGGAATTCGATTGTTTTGGTGGTGTTTCCTCGTTTGAATATAGGGAATTCGATTGTTTTGGTGGTGTTTCCTCGTTTGAATATAGGGAATTCGGTTGTTTTGGTGGTGTTTCCTCGTTTGAATATAGGGAATTTGGTTGTTTTGGTGGTGTTTCCTCGTTTGAATATAGAGGATTCGACTGTTTAGCAGATAATTCGGTGCTACCAGAATATGTTTGATCCAAGCATGGAGTGGTAGACTGAGAATTGCTCTCACGTGTCTGATCAAGACCACAGGCCATTGCAGTATAATAATCATCTGTTGTGTTTGTATTGGATTCAGTGACTGTACGAAACCGACCCTGCCCTGCCTGACCATGACCACTGGTCATTACAGTATAACAATCAGTGGTATTAAGATAGGATCGAGTGACATTTTCAAGCTGACCCTGCCCTGCCTGACCACGACAACTGGTCATTGCGGTATAACCATCAGTGGCATTTACATAGGATCCAGTGACATTTTTGAACTGACCCTTTCCTGTCTGACCATGACCACTGGTCATTACGGTATAACCTGCCGCCAGACTTGGGTTTAGTGCATTTTGAACAATCAAAGCTTGATATTGATTGTTAGCCTGAGACTGGCCCTGCCCTGTCTGATCATGACCACCGGCCATTACAGCATTTGAACTTGCAGGGCGAGGGTATGAAGGGGGTTCTCTGTTCTTCCTCTTCTGCCAGTATATGGTCATAATGATTGTAACCACGATGGCAGTGCCAGTAATGGGACCACAGATAGAACCAACGATAACATATAGACGGGGACTGGGAGGAGGTTCATAGGTGCTCTCCGCTTTTTCTGACACATGGGTAATAGTTTGGTGTGATTTCGGTAACAAACTCGTGATTATGTCTGTAAGACCTTTCCTATTTGTATCAACAGACAGTGTTGCAATTCTGACATTTATAGGACGGTTCGTTAAGCTGGCGGTGGAGCTATCAAGACTTGCTGTAGTGTCATGATTACTCTCTGTGTTCTCAAGTAATAATGAGGTAGACACTGGATACAAGGCCTTGCTATCAACAGGTATATCTGACGTAGTTTGCTCAAGTAATAAAGTGGTAGACACTGGATACAAGGCCTTGTTATCAACAGGTATAGCTGACGTAGTTTGCTCAAGTAATAAAGAGGTAGACACTGGATATAAGGCTGTAGTATCAACAGGTATGGCTGACGTAGTTTGCTCTTTACACACTAGGTTTTCAGGATTGATATCCTTCAGCGCTTTTGATCTAAAGTTAGCAGGTTGGGCACATGTTATCATATTCTCAAATGCATGAGACCCAGTCATTTTAAGCCTGAATGGAAGCATCGCACAGTCACACTGCCAGGGGTTTGATTGAATTGCTACCATAGACAGTGATGATAAGATGTCATAGATTGACGGGGGAAGGACAGCTATCTGGTTATTGCTCAGCATCAAACAACGCAGCTTGGGTAGATTTGAGAATGAGCCAGACTCGATAGTTGTTATTTTGTTGCTGTTCAGGTGAAGACTTTGAAGCTGGGGTAAGCCAGAAAATGTACCATATTGAACTTCACTTATCTGATTACGGTGAAGGAACAACATTTGGAGCTGGGGATCATTTGAGAACGCACCAGCCGATATATGAGTTATCTGGTTGTTACCCAGGAACAAACGTTTGAGACATGGAAGGTTTGAGAATGTTCCGGGCTGAATGTTAGTTATGTTGTTACTGGTCAGTTCTATCATTGGTTTATTTCAAACACAAACACAAATCACAATACAGCTCCATCACTAGGCAGCCACAAGGCTGAATTGCGTGAATAAAAGCTTTAGACAGTGAAATAAAATCCTGATCATCATTCCGTGTTGTAAAAACAGTCATGAAATCATATTAAAATCATACATTTACACAGACTATTCATGATTTAAAATGTGAACAAGGTACGGTAATGTACTTCTGTTGTACCGCTCTGTGCGCGCTGGCAATTGGTCAAGTTTTGCATGTTGTCTAGTCATCCTCCCACTGACACTACCCCTGGTTTGTGGCAGCTAGTGTCGGTAGAGGGTAGAAGCTTGTATGTTGTTCGCAAACCGTCTGCACAGGGCTATTCTGCGATCTTCTAAAGTCTGTAGCTGTAGCGTCTCCAGTGCTGACTTGTAGTTCGTGAAGTCCTTAGCAAGGATGATTCTGGTGGCTCTTCTTTGTATGTTTTCAATCTTCCTTCTCTGTGCTTTGGTCAAACCAGGGTGCCACAGAGGCGCGGCATATTCCAACACAGGACGGACGAAACAAGTATATGTAGTAAGAAGATCTTCAACGGGCGGGTTGAATTGGCGCAAACGACAGAGCAAGTATAGCCTCTGGTTCCCCTTCTTGGTTGTTTCCTTGACGTGAGCGTCCCACTTCAAGTCAGCTTGAAATGTCACCCCAAGACACTTAGCTACACTGACAACAGCTAGCTGGTGACCATCGATGTTTAATGCAGGTGGCGGGGGAGGATTACAGGAGAAGCAGACCTGCATAGTTTTACACTTGCCCGGGTTTAGTCTCATGTTCTTGTCGTTTGTCCAGCCGGATAGACGATCGAGGTCGTTCTGAATTCTAGATGGTTCAGATACAAGCCGGGACTCCACTAGGTTCAGATCGTCGACGAAAGCCCACGACGGGGAACATATAATGTCCGGTAGTTTGTTTACGTGGATGATAAACACGATCGGACCGAGCTTGGTGCCCTGTGCCAAACCACAGGTAAGTTGTTTGGTGTGGGACAACACCCCTCTGTACCGTGTCCTCTGGCTTCTTCCTTCATGGAAACTACAAATCCACGGGATGAGTTCAGGGCGGACTCCATGCTCCAGTATGTGCTTCATTGCGACGGTGTGATCGACCAAGTCAAAAGCCTTGCTGAAATCAGTTAATACCCACTAAATACCCACTACCCATTCTAAATGTTCGAGTTGTGCTAACATTGAGAATGTTCCAGGATGGATGTTATTTATCTGGTTGAAATTTAGGAGTAAAAATGTTAGTTTGGGTAGATTTAAAAATGTTTTAGGGGAAATCTGGGTAATCCTATTCTTCTTCAAGGTCAACGTTTTAAGCCTGGGCAGATGTGGGAAACAATCTATCTTAAAAATACGATTTTTAGCGAATTTTAAAACTCTTAAGTCCTTATACCTCAAGAGCACATTCATTTCTGACTGGCTTAAAGTTGTTATAGCATTAGATGTCAAGTCCAAGCTACGAATGGATATTGCTTGGTTCTGAGGGACACTGGTGAGGTTCATACTGCGACAGTCACAGTGTGAATTGAGACAGCTGCAGTTAGCTTCTGGCACGCTAGGCTCAGTCAGGATGATGATGATGAGGAAAACCAGTATTTCCTTCTTACCCATGTTGTTTTGTCACCTAGAAGGCAAATGTATGAGAAATTATAAACAGATATTAATTTTTTTCTATAATTGCATATGGGGGTTGGGATTCGTTTTAAAAGTCAAGTAGCATCGCATTTAAATGTGCACGATTATTGAGTGATACATGCTATAAAGATAGAAATTTGTACAAAACATCACGTGTATATTCAAAATCAAAATCACGTTCAGTGAATGTGTACAGGTACAGTCAAAGGGTTATGGAATACAAATCTTCACTGGTAGAATATGAAGATCTAATATGTTCTGCTCTGATTTAAAAACTGCAAAATAAACATTTTGGCCACCTGGAGGCTCCTCGTGGTATTGCAGCGGCCTTTTTGCAAGGTCCGTCCGGATATGCTTTGGTGTTATTTTCTTGGCAGTAGACATAGTTTTTTGTTCAAATCTTTCAGAGAAAAACCGAAAAAAGAAATAGTGGATTTTATGATTAAGGACATGTTTGCAGTTTAGGCAGGGATGATGCAAATGTACACAATTAGATGTAAATTATGCAAAATAGGCCTTAATCTGTATGATTTATTAGAAAATTGTAACATCTACCTGTTTCTAGCAGTATAACTTTTATCATGCCACTTCTCCATGACATCAAATGTTGTTTGCCACCATGAAAAACCATGAAAAAGTTAGTCTCCACCAGACTCCTTTGCAGGCTGAATAAATAGTAGAAATCGGCTAAGGGGAACATCATTGGCCAGAGGAGTTGGCCGGCCATAGAGGGTCCAGCTTGCCTGTCTCCCTTTCATCGTAGCGACTTCTCACAGACTCCGGCAGGCAAGCTGGACCCTCTATGGCC